ATACAAAAATATTTGGGATGATTTATATGAGGGAAATGTACTAAATACTTAAATATAATGGATTTTGAACACTTGAATATGCTTTAAAAATAAAATATTGATTATAAATGTATTCTAGTTTAAGAGGGATATGTTTTTATTTAGACAATATATTATTTCTGTCCTTTGTTCTTTCTGTTTCAAGATATGAAAAATGTAAGTGTTGGGACGGTTCATATGAGGAAAACAACTTCAATATTTAAGTGTAATTAACTTTAAGAAAATGTTAATACTGAGGGGAAAATAAATTTAAATGAGAACTCTAAAAACAGGATCTATGATAAGGTGATCTAGATGATTAATTAGAAAAGAAGTTTAATAATGAGGTGGAGGATATTCGTAGATATTTAATTATCTTTTAAAACTATCAAGAAATGTACTAATTTAAGGTTGTTAAAAGAGAATATTGTTGGAAGAAGAGAGAACCAAGGAAAGCTACTATGTGGAATATGGAATTATAGAAACTGTTATTATTTGTAAATACAAACCCAGACAAACACACAGTTTACCAAATATTGATGGTGATATGTAAAAATAAAACCAATAAAACATATTTTTTTAAAAAATAATAATTTACAAGTAACATTCAGATTTTTGAGCTAGTGTAAACAATGAAATCTTCTATAATTTAAATTATAAAATGTTTTAATATAAATTCATAAGCAGAATAAAAAATGAAAAGGCCTGGAAAATTGTTAGTTGGGGAACTTAAAAGATTTGACTAATGTTTTTCCATGTGCCTTTATTATTAAAAAAGAATTAGCAAAAAGTTGACCAAGATGCTGTATAAAAACTGCTGTAATTTCAGGGCTGATTCGTCCTCCCAGCTCTGTGTATGGGTAGCCTCTGGGTTACGTGTTTAACAACCATTCAAAGTTTCAAAAGCACTAAAAATGTGACTTACAACTGATCCTTGCACTACAACTTTCCCAGCATCCCCCCAGTCACATGACCAAAATTCAGGCACTTGGCAACTAGCATGTATTTACAACAATTGTAGCATCCCAGGGTCGTGTGGTTGGCATCTGTGATCTTCCTATTCACCTCCAGCGAGCAAAGTCAACGGGGGAAGCCAGGTTTGCTTAACGACCACACAGTTCACTTGACAATCATGGCAAAAAAGTCATAAAATAAGGGTGCAACTTCCTTAACAACTGCCTTGCTTAGCAACAGAAATTCTGGGCCCAGCTGTGGTCATAAATCAAGGACTATCAGTTATTCTTTTAATCTGTAAGATCTTGATGTCCTCTTCATGTCCAAACCCTAACAACACAACTGAGAAGACCTGCATCTCGCACGTGCAGCACTGAGTCATGTTAACAATCCAGGGATTTTGGGCCCTCACAGGATAAGGAGAAACCCAGCAGTTAACCCTCCACGGACTGTGCGCTTTCACAGCCAGTGGGCTGCAATCAACCTGAGATATCAAATATACACAAAGGAGTATTTTTGCTGTACTAGATTGTAGGAAATTAATTTCATGTTATTTAAAACAATTCTCCACTAGGTTAGCAGGATGGGACATTCAAGCTTGCTTTTTTTTAAAAAGAGGGTTTCCTGGCTTAGAAGCCACATTTGATTACCTTCAACCATCTGCAAATGTGGGACTAAGAAGCAGTAATGCTATCAGGATTACGCAGATTAATAATTAGAATTAAACAGAAGCTTGTAAAGCAAGTACTTTTTACTTTTTATGTGAAAATTTTACAAGCCAATTTCTCAGAACTGAGTTAATTCAAAGTATATTTTATTATGAGGCAGCTAGTTTAATGTCATTCTCCCCCCAAAATTCCCATTTTTAAAAAATATCTGAACTATCCCACAACCTAAGTACCTCAGCAAAAGAATCAACATTGTACTTGCAACTCAGGATTTCCATATGTATCCGATGGCATTAAGTGCAGGTAACAAGGATCTCTTTCCCCACTAAAACGTCAATAGGAATCAAATAATTTATTTTATTTATAATTGATTTCTGAGCCCTCCACTGGCTAATGACTTTGGATGGTTTACAGTGGATTAAAAAGACTAATAAACAGCAATAAAAGGCATCTGTGCCAGGGAGGAAAAAAGAAGATTGAGTATACAACAGCCAGTTACAGAACAGCAATTAGCAGGATCATTCCATCTCTGCCTGTTGGAAGAGCCAGATCTGAAGGACTCTGTTATGACAAGGAGGATCTGTTAAGTCTCCATCCCACCTTTCACTCAGCAGCCACAAGCTCCCTGGTCCACTCAAGCTGAGATCAAAGAGAAGCTAACCAGATAAATTCTCTTGGTGGATGATGATGATGGATCAGTTCATTCCTTGCTAGCAGCTCACCTGCCCTCAAGCCAACAAAACCTGGTCTACTTCTCTTTCTATGAATCAATTCAAACGATGTATATGCAAAAAATGACAACTTGAAAGTGAGTTCACCTTTGGAAAAGCAAAGTCCTTCAGAGACCTCAGAAAAAGTTGCTTGAGTCATCCTGGTGACTGCCTGGGCATGGCCCTGTGGGTTTTTGGGCAAGATTTTGGAAGTGGTTTGCTGAGACTGACTGGCCCAAGGTCTCTCAGCTGGCTTTGTATAGGTGGGACTATTGCAGGGGTCTTCAAACCTGGCCCTTTTATGACTTGTGGACTTCAATTCCCAGAATTCGCGTGCCTGGCTGAGGAATTCTGGGAGTTGAAGTCCACAAGTCATAAAAGGGCCAAGTTTGAAGACTAGTGCCTTCACCAGTATAATCTGATAATGCTTACCCGTCATATTTTGAGTAAAATCTGCAAGTATGCAGTGGGAGAGGATAAATCTATTTTATGTCTTTG